CGCCCCCCCTGTCCCCTGCCGCCTCCCTGCAGCCTCTTTCTTTCTCCTGGCAAAGTGTCCAGCCCTGCCTGCTTCTCCTCGGGCCTGGGCGCCTCCGGCAGGCGCTTCCCTCCCTCCCTCTCTCCCCAGCTGCCTCCTCCTCTTCTCTCCCGCTCTCCTTCCCCTTTCACCCCATCCCCTGCCCTGGCTGCAACCATGAGGGTCTTGGCCTGCCTCCTTGGTGAGTGATCCATTCTCCTTGGGGACTCAGGGGGCCTAGGCCCCCACCTCTGACCCCTTAGCTTATCCAGTTTAGAGATTCAAACTTCCGGGACTGGTCCCTGGTGCTCCTGCACACCCTGACATCCCTTCTAAGGATCCCTGCCTGATCTGCTCAGCCTTCTGCGAGCCCAGAAGCCCAAGGGACCTGCCCCCTGCCCACCCCCCAGCCCTGACCCTGCAGGGGATGTCCCGGACACCTGACCTTTAGCCAAGCCCATGTGAGAGTACCAAAGCCGGGGTCCCCAGCCCTGACTTCAGGGACCCGGCATCGGCAGCCCCACCCGCCTCAGAGACCTGTGCCTCAGCCTGCCCCTCTGTCCAGAGTCCTGCCTCCCAGCAGCGGGGTTTCTGGTTCAGAGGTATGAGGACTCTGTGTGTGTGCGTGTGTGCGCACGCGTGTGTGTGAGGACTCTGTGTGTGCGTGTGTGCATGCGCGCGCGTGTGTGCACGCGTGTGCGTGCGTGTGCGTATGCATGTGTGTGCACGCGCGTGTGAGGACTGTGTGTGCGCGCGCGTGTGTGTGCGTGTGTGAGGACTCTGTGTGCGCGCACGCGTGTGTGGGCGTGTGTGTGCGCGTGCATGCGTGTGTGCGTGTGTGTGTGCGTGCGTGTGTGAGGACTCTGTGTGTGTGCGTGTGTGTGTGCACGTGTGTGTGTGTGTTGGGGTATTCAAGATGAGGGGCCTGCGCTGGAGAAAGGGCCACTCCCGCCCTGCCCCTCACTCTGCCCCACCCTCTGCCCTCCCTTCCAGCGGCACTGGTGGGGATCCAGGCTGTTGGTAAGTGCCCAGACTCCTCCCATCTCCCCCCCTCCACCCAGCGCCAGGACTCCCCCTTCTGCCCGTCCCAGGCCTGGCCTCACCCCCACTGGGTCCCTGGCCCACCCGAATTCCACTGTGACCTTGGCCCCTGCTCTGCGCTGGGATCCCCCAGGTGTCTGGCCGCATCTCTCTGAGCACCCAGGAGTCTGGACCCAGGGGCCAGTGAGCAGGGCCACTGGCCTACCGACAGTACCCGCAGGATGGCCCCCTGCCCCCAGTCACCCTGGCCCTGGGACCCCAAGGATGCCCCTCCCCAGTCACAGTCATTCCTCCAACCCTCAGAGCGCCTGCGCCTGGCCGATGGCCCCCA